TTCTCTTAAATTTGCCATATTCAAGAAAAAAAATCATGATTTGCTCCAGAGAGAATCCATATTGATTCATACTTGATGATATGCGGAAAGAAAACCATATGTTAAGCCTTTCAAAAACATTCTTTTAGATAAATTTTAAATTAAAAAAAGTAGTAATAAGATGACGAGAGTATTCCCTATTCCCTTACAGAACCGGCCCTACCTCGAAGGAAAAGAATAATTCATCTTCCGCAAATCCTTCCACCAATTTGACCCTCCCGCACTCCAACGCTCTTCATCCCCCTCCGCACATTCGCTTCCATTATTTTGCTAACAAAACTCTTTTCCGAGCCCCAATTCCTCCTTTAAAACTCTCCATCTCTAATTTCCCCAATATTACATATATAAAACTTTCCAAACCACCCACGCAATCTTCCTCGAGTCCTCACCAATCCCTTCCCTCAAAAGAAAACCCCTTTTTAAGATAAATATATTTAAATTACTTTATTTGATACAATAAATTACTTATGATATATACTGTTATGTCATATAACATATTAATTAATATATTTAACTTATTAAGTAAAATCTCCTTCATTAACTACAACTAGATTTTTATTTCTTTAATTTTGAATTGAATTGCAAGGGATAATTTTTTTAGCTTTTTAATCTATCACACCTTTATATTATGTTATCTAGACATAAAATTTATTATTAATGTAGCTATTATGCTAACTTTTTTTTGTATATCATTGACTTGTACTAAAAATTAGAAGGCATCTTGGTTTCGTAAATAATTTTTAATCTACAAACTTAATTAAATTAAAATTTTTAAGCATATGAGTATTACAATTAATGTTCTAAAATAAATAGAGTCAAGTTTCTTAAAACTTAAATTTGAATTGATGTTGTGTACAATAATAAACAAATAACTTGAATTTGAACTTGATTCATAAATTTTATTTAGTACTCAAGTTTAATATAGGATTTAGATTTAATCGAAATTAAAATTTTGATCAATATTTCAGGTATATTTAGTTTTGAAAAATTATTTTAGGATAATTTTTTTATATTATCTTTTAGTACAATTGGATGTATTATTTAAATAATTTATTCTTTTAATTCATATGAAATTCGTAATATTAAATGTATCTACTCATTTAATGACACATAAAAATTATATTAAAAAGTGATATAAAAAAATTATTTCTATAACATCATTCACTAATTTTTAATATAATTGAATTGAGTTGAATTTAAATTATAACTTATATTTAACTCTATTTAATTTTTCATGATAAGTTTCCAACTCAAACTTAATTTCAAATAAAGTTGAATCCAACTCGAGTTCAAGTTGGGTAATATAACTCATTTACAATGCTAATTACATCAACTTTGAAATCTTAATGATTACTAGAAGAATGTTTAGAACTGCAAAATTAACAAAGTGAAGGTAGAGCTAACTCCCGTCTTTTATTAGTGCCATAAAATTTTTTTTATTTAAAAAAAAATAAAAATCCTACTTTCCTCTAATTGTGAAAGCAGGGAGACAGCCTATCTTTTTCGCTTGGATTTCGGATATGCTTTTTATATTCCTTATGCCACTAACAACCTCCTGTCTTCTTTTTCCATTAAAAAATATAGGATAAACTGTTTTGACCCCCAATGCCACTAATAAATTGCTGTTTTTATTCTACTAATATGTGCTTTTATGATTTTAGTTTTATGAACTACTTTTGTCTGATGGTTCTAGACGTTATGAACGGAGTGATACCACTCCGTCTGGAAGTGGAAACACTGTTGGTACGCTAAAAATTTCACCACTAGCTCTTTTTTTCCTTTTATCCACCTCTTTAGATATAAAATATAATAGTAATAGACAATTTTTTTTTTTTTTTAAAAAAGCCTATTTGTGTCTGATTGACAAAAGATAAGGGGAACTTATCTCTTTTTCTTTTTGCCAAATGAACCTTGAATGTAGTTTTCCCTCAGTGTTTTTTAATTCTTGAGTATTGTTTGGGCAGCTTCACAATCCAACACTGTTGAAGTCTTCAGCTGCTTCTACACCTGAAAATCTCGAGGATGCTTCCTCAGGGAAAACACTCCAACGCTCAAGTTAGCAATACTCAATATTCTAGAGAGAAATGCTCTCAAGGAGTAATTGTAGAGAGAGAAGCGTAGAGATTAATTACCTTCATCGGAGGTAGTTAGGGAGTATTTATCCCCTGGTGCTGACATACATCTGCACGTGTAAGCATCCCCTCGACCCACGTGGCATTGGTCACGTGGGTATGCTTGTACCGATGCTCCTTCAGCTTGGGCTAATGGCTGGTAGCCTAGGCCCGTTTTGCACA